ACTTAAAAGAATAGATCTTAAAACTTATGGATCAGGTGATCCTGAACCATCTCTGCTTCAAGTGCTTGCTGACAGAGGGGAATGTCTAAGGGTTGGGGTTTTGAGGTGACCGTTTTTGTGATCTGATACTATATAAAAAAAAAAAAACTGAATTGAATTTATAACTACTGCGAATATACTCCAAGTCAAGTAACTTTAAACAAGTTGTGAATGTTGGTTTTAATTCAGATGAATATTCCTTTTAAAACCCCATAAAATGTCAAGATTAATTACAGTTACATTGGTTAGTTGGCTAACTCACCTGAGTCTATTTGGCAGTGCCAAACAAAGTGTACTTTGATATTTGTTTTAGGGAGAATTGAGCAGACAGCTTCAGTTGAGTTGAGATAGGAAATAGATGACTTATTCACAGGGGCCAGTGCATATTGGTAATCCAACATCCCAATAACCAAAGTTTACAGATTTACAGATGCTTTAATTCTAAATAGAGACCTTAATTATAAAACAGGCAGTAGCTGGGAAGATTCTCAGTCTTTCTGTGGTTTGTGGTTTGGCTTTTGGAGTGCTTTTGTACCATGTTTGTACTATTTTTTGTCTGTTTTAGTTTTCTCTCATTTTTTGGGTAAATATTACTGCTAAATTGTGTCTGTTACACATTACTGCTATTCATCCTTTTATATATTTTAGGGCAATTTAATATACAGCATTACAACATATTTTATAAGGATGTGTTTGAAACATACGTGTTTGTTACATGGCCTTCATTTTTATCACAAACATGCAAAATGAGCTTTCCATTTTTCCCCACCACTTGATATGAAGAACTTTATGAGAGTAACCATGAAATTTAGTTACTCATAACTTTATGAGTAACTAAATTTTAAAACCAACTGCACTAGTTGTAATATGCTAAAAGAGCAACAATTGTCTCTGAGATATATCAGAACAGAAAAGATCCCACGTAATATGAAATAAAAACACCAGGATTTTTTACCTTAAGTACAGTATTGAATCAACTGAGTTTAAATATATAATAGTGGTAGATTTTAATGACACATTTGTATTATATTGGCAAAGTGTAATGAGGCTAGTCACATGAACTAGCCAGCTAGCTAGCTAATTAGCTAACTGCTGTTTGCTAGCTAAGGTTAAAATTACTTTTGGTTAAAGGGATACTGCTTAATAATAATGTTTTTACATGGCCTTGGTCTTCTCTCAGCCTCAGATAATCACAGATAGACGAAATGTCATAATTTTCTACAGTAAAAATATAACTAATAAGATAAAATAAAGATTTAATCACCATTTCTGTCAAACAATGCTATCCAAATTAACTGTAGTTACCACTGCCAGGTGAAAGGGCCTCAACTAGAATTAACACAAATATCAAAATACATGAGATGGAATTTCACCCATTACTCACTACGCTGAGAAACAGTATCTTAAATGCTAATATAATATGATATAGTAAGCATAATATGCATTTTATGTTTGCAGTGAGCTTTGCACGATAACAAGGTCGAGGATAGAATCTAACTGCTCACTAACTTGTTTTCTTACAATAAATTCAATACAACAAGTACATCTATTAATTAACTCAATGGCACATGTGTAAACATTTAAAATCAATAAAAGCAGAAGAAACTACTCACTTACAGGTCAAGAACAATTGACAGCACAACAGCTAAAGTTGTGACCCTCCCCACACCTTTCCCTTGCCTGGAATTTCAGATTCACCCAAAACAACTTTAGTTTCAGCCCATTTTGTCCTTTCATAATAAAAGTCCTTAATATTTCACTGTGCTATGGATACAATGGCGCACAGAAGTGCATTCAAGCAGTTTACTGCAGATTTTAAGAACTTTTTATTGTTATTCATTAAGAAATAGATTTGGTTTTTCTAAATAAAATGATTATGGTATCTTTCAACAAAATATGGGGATTTAAATAAAACACTACATAAAAACTCCATAAGGTAGCTAAAAATAGCTAATTCCACAAATTTGTGGGGAAAAAGATCTTTATTCATTTAGTGTTAGTGTAATTTTCTTTTCAGTGGAAGGACTTCGGGGTCTTGTTCATGAGTAAGGGGAGATCAGCAGAGGATTGGTGCAGCGTCAGCAGTCATGCAGATGCTGTTGTCTAATTGAAAGAGCCTGTTAATGAATAAAAGGAACAGTTTGATGGCAGCAAAACAAAACCTTAAGCAAGTTGTTCTAAGAAGACATTGGTAAAGAATAAAGTTAAAGTAAATGTTTTGGGGTAGTGAAGTGAAACCACGACCTAATAAAAAACTGTGGGAAAAATGAGCTAACTTACAAGCAGTCAGACTTTCTTGTAATTTTTAATGTGGCCTTGACATACTTCATGCTTTCTTTGGATACTGTAACTAGCCCTTCTCAAATGTTTTCTTGCTCGTTAAGCAACTTAACACTGATCTATGAATCGCTCAAACATAAGGCACCTAACTAAAAGGATGAACCTTTGTGTCTGTTGCATCTACACGTAACAAAGAACCAATTTTTGAAAATATCTTTCCACACTTTATTACCAGCAGCATGTCAGGAAAAGAAAAAAAAATCATAATTTGTTCCCATTTTTAGTTAAATCTACAAACATTTACAAAAAATAACAATGTAGCAGCTTGACATGCACAAAATGGTATTGATAAGACACCCAAAGAACTATTGCTATGGTTTGCAGGTTATCCTTGAAACTGTGGAGGATCTGTCATGGTTTTAGGCATCATATCAGCCAGTGGTTTTGGGGATGTCGGCACAGCAGCTTCATTTTTTAGAAAAAAAAACACAGTGGAACACTATTAGTCATGAATTGGCCTCCCCATAGCCCGGTTCTCAATTTTACTGAAGCAGGTAGGGATCGTCGTCTTGACAGAGAACAGACCAAAGGCAGCCAAAATCCAAAGTAGAACTTTTAAGAAGTCTCATAAAGTTCTCTTGAAAAACAACTCTTCTTCTTCTTTTGGCTGCTCCCTTTAAGAGTCTATCTCATCCTTATCTTTGAGTCTTCTTCTGTCACATCAACCATCTGCATGTCATTCTTTACTACATCCAAGAATCTTCTCTGTAGTTTTATTTCTTCCCTCCTCGTCTTTCCCTCTCTACTTTTAGGACTGCGTAAACGTGAAAATTTCTAACATATAATAATGAAGTTACATTTAAACATTTCAAAGGTTTCAGTAAATAAGAAAACATTTGAATAGTTACAAAAAGGTTACTGTAACTTCATGCCTGAGACTGTTTCAAAATAAAATGCAGCATCAGAGTTGGCGCTTTAATAAGCTGATATACTGCAATGTGAAACTCCACAGACTGCATAGGTTTTACAGGCCTGCTGAACAATGCTTCCCTTTCAAAACCAGCACAATGTGTTGAATGTAAAACACTCCCATACTAAAGGCGGGTTAACAAAAAAGTAATCCCACAGCAGTATGGCAGCTGTTCTAGACTTTTCCACTGTTCATGAAAATAGGCTTTCTTGAATATAGGTGAGAAATACATGGTAAAACAAATCGCTCTGATGTGTCTCACATCATTGTGTTTATTAGGGCTTTTGTCTTTTCGCTGGAAAGTTGTTGTTGTTGTTTTTTAAGTTTTATTACAGTTAACTAAAACTACATATGTAATTTTAGTTTGCCAAAATAACTACGAAAATAAAATTCAGCAGAAAACAGTGTTATAAATACACCAACTTAACTATAAAAACAACCATCATTTAATTTGCTTATTGAGAGTTGCAGTTCTTCGTGAGTTAGCCTGTAGTTTAATATCTATTGTAAACCTCTTTAATATCTTATCACGGACAAATATCTCCTTATTTATTATATCCCTAGCTCTATTACTAAGAAGACAAACTAGATAATGTTATTGCAATAACTCTGGAATGCTATAAGCCACCTTCTGAGGGAAATCTATTATTACCTAAGTCAATATGATTAAACTAACAAGAGTGTAGACAGCAGCTTTAGCATGTACAGCACAGAATAAACACTCTGTAAATTGGAAGGTTTAACGTAATGACACTGCACGTGTCCCTGCTGATGTGCCGCAGACAGCATTGAGCTCCTTTTAGGTGAGCCATGATAGGCTGTCGTGGGAGCTGCCTCCGGGATACACCCACCAGCCCCAGCAGGCTAAATAAAGATGGGCAGTTAAGAGTTCTTTCAGATTATGTATATTTATATTTATATCTCAGTTCTCCAAAACAATCCCGGATTATACAAACCTGTATCGTGGCCCTGAGACATGAGCTGCAGCGATCTGTAGTTTAAAATGATCGAGTGGTTAAATGTGATTCTTATCAGCGATTCAGTATGAATTAACACAGGTTCCTTATCTTATCTCGTCCCCCTTTAAAACGCATCTAAATTGCTGCAGAGACACAGGTGCTTTGTTTCCTTTATGTAATACCGGATAGCAGAGGAACATGAGCAACTTCCGGATGCCAAATTTCCATCCCTAAATTATTTAAGAAAAAAATTCAAAAAGAGGAAGGAAAAATAAAAGGAAGTCAGACAGTACCAGAAGAAAGCCGAGCGTGGTCAAATCTCTCTTTCCAAGTCGATGATGCTTGTCCTTTATAGACACACCAGCTGGTAGCTCTTCTGTTTTGTGCAGTGGGAAGGCAGTGTCGTGGCTCTTTCAATGCGTGACTGCGTCACGGTGAGATGGGGTACGCCTACATGTTGCAATTCACGCAGTAATTGCATAATTTAAAAGACAGCAAGTATTATATCACTGAAATAAAAATGTATTTTTTCATTCTGTTTAGGTATTTTTATTAATTCATGAATAAATAAATTACTTCTTTGAAATTAATTTCTAAGTTTATTTTTAATGTTCCGTCCAGAATTTATTGAAAGCACTTCGTCTGGGATCCAATGGTGAGTCTAATTATACTTAAAGATGTACATTTAAAAAATACTGTTTTGTATGTTTTCGATAAACACATTAACGTCACACGTGCTTTGCCACATGCCGCTTTATATTACACGCATGCGTACTAATCACTTCGGCATGGCGGACAGTGGCTGGCCGGGCTGTGCTAAGAGTTTAAAAGGTGTCATTTTGGACCTGTGTGGAGTTTTATATGACAGCGGGGAGGGCGACGGGGTTGCAATTCCTGGCTCGATCGAAGCTGTGAAAAAGTGAGTGAAAATTTTCACGTAGAAATGTGATTAGCTTTACGTCTTCAGTTTGCATAGCTGTCAAAGTCCGTCACTCAGACTTAATGATGCATGTGACCACCTGCTTTGCCCTCCTGACCTATTGAAAGGCTCAAGGAATCCGACTTGCAGCTGCGATTCTGCACCAATGAGACCCAGGCCACCAGAGAGAAGTTTGTAGCCAAGCTTCGAAGATTGGGCTTTGACATCTCTGTATCTGAAGTCTTCCCTCCTGCGCCTGCAGCCATAGCTGTTCTCAAAGAAAGAGGTTTACGTCCTCACTTGCTGGTGCATGATGGTAAGATTCATATTTGAGCATCTAAACTTTTCAGACCACTTTTTAGTTGATTGTGTTCTAAGAGCGCACTTGGAATAAATGCACATTAAAAGCCCTGGTATAATATATGTGAGGAGTACATAAAGGGTTTTTTTCTGTTACATTCTGGTGTTAAATTATAAACTGACTCATTTAATCTCAAATCATCTTGAGTGTTCTGCTGGACCACGTCTAACTTGGCTATTGAATGGAACTTAAATCGTCTCATAAGTAAAACAAGACTTATGTGTCTTATAATATGATTTACTTGGTAAAGTCTCCCCTTTTGCAGCATAAGACATTACTTATTCTTACAAATACCTGGCATGAATCCATATACAGTATATAAATTATATTTGATTTATGAAACTAAAATTTCACAATAATCATTATGTCCATCGTGCCCAAATTTTAAATCATAAAATATTCAGACTAATCAAAGTGGGTTGAGCTGAAAATTATCTAATAATTTGATGATTTTAGATGCAATAACCCATTTATGACTGACTTTGCTCCTTCTCTGCAGGACTTCTCCCGGAGTTTGACGGTGTTGACAAAACCAACCCAAACTGTGTGATTGTAGGAGATGCAGCTGAAAATTTTTCCTATCAGAACTTGAACGAGGCTTTCAGGGTCCTCATAGGCCTGGAAAAGCCGGTGCTTTTCTCCCTGGGCCAGGGGTAATTAAATATTACTAGCCAACTGACATTACTCTATTGCTTATTCCAAGTAACGCATCATTAAATAATGAAATGTATTTATTGATGTTAATCTTTCTTCATAGGCGATACTACAAGGAGACGGACGGTTTAAAATTAGATGTTGGTGTTTACATGAAAGCTCTGGAGGTAAAATAGGTGCACCGATATTCTGATATATATTTTTTTTAGAGTTCAGTGGAAATAAATAAGTTATTTTTAATGTTGGCTTTTTTGTTCTTTTTAGTATGCCTGTGATTTAAAGGCAGAAGTAATTGGAAAACCTTCCCCGACATTCTTCCGGAGTGTTCTCAATGATATGGGCCTTAAACCACATGAGGTATGCAGCAATACATGGCCCTGCATGTGCACAGAGCACAAGTTAGGATGGAAAAGTTTACTGTCAGTTGTGCAATAAAGACCAGCTGCCTTTAGTTCTTGTTTTGCAGCTTTGCTTTGTTGAGCTTGTTCCTCTGTGCTCTGACGCTCCTGTTCCAGTTTTTCCAACAAATTATGAGCCAATGACACAATGTTTTCTTTCTAGTTTTGCATCTGTACTCTACCACAATAGATTGCACTTTAGTCACATATAGCTAACTTTACAAACTTTCAGCTTTAATTTTTTTATTTTCTTTTTTAAAAATAATAATCCTGTCATCCTGTAATTTAGTTGTTTTCTACAGTCTTTCAGGCCTCTTGGTGTTGCTGAACTATCCAGTGTTTTCATTCATTTTAAGAATGTACCAGAGTGTTGATTTAGCCACTCTTAAAGATTTCCTATCTCTCTGATGGGTCTTTTTTTTGTCTTTTCAGCCAAAATATGGGCGTCAATGCTTTCAGCAACATGTTATCAATATTTAAAATGACAACTCAAAGCTGCACAATATGATTTCAACACATCGAATCAACTATATCAGCTATATCTGCTTTTGTTTCTTATAAGTCTGATATCATATGTTTCATTATTGAAAGTATTTGTAAGAGTAAGCATTGTGTTATGTTGTATGAGAAGAATGCAAAAGAAGACACTTTAACAAGTAATTCATATTATGACACAAGTTTTGTAATACTTGTGGAATTATAATATATAACAGATAAACATGGTCTTTTGATTTGATTGTAAAATTCCTACAGGTTTTTTTTTTTGTTACTTTTTCATGTGGAGGAACACATGCACTGCAAATCCAACACACAGACACAAGAATGTTAACGAAAGTTTCAATAATCTCAGTACAAGTTTCACTCTAGTAATTTTCCTTCTTTCTCAGATACATGGATGTATTCACAGCTAACTTTGCCATCCTCTCCAGAGCACTCATTTACTCACCCAGGCTCTTTTCCTTGTTTGTCGAGTCACTCACTTAAAAAGCTCCCTTACAGACCCACTGTTATTCTCTTCTTTGTTTCTTTAAGAAATGCCTTCTTAGAATCACTGAACAACGGCCTGTTTGGCCCAGTCAATTGATACTGAACTCCTCCTGTGTTCAAGGAACTCTCTGTACCAGCTCTGTCTCCGCTTTCATCAGCTTCCCCTCCTTTCTTTGTGCCTCTGCTTCATTAATAAAGTAAAGTAGTTGCATGGTTTGACCTCACTGAGCATGCAAAGCAGGTCTAGGGTGTGCATGTTTTTAAAACCCATCTGCACTAGGTTCTCTTAGGAGTCTGTGGCCACCTCTTTTTGCCCTTGACACACTTGCATTGATAGGGGGGAAAAAATCTGCTCCTGTTTGATCTCGCGAGTAGTTTAAGTAGTCGTATTTTATCTAAAATTAGTGACGCTGGTTGAATTCTTAATCCCCGTTTTTGTTTTAATTCTCCCAGTGCACTATATTTGTTCTAATATGTCTCCTTTTTGTTTTTCTTGTGTTGTAGAGAGCCCATCATGGGTTGCTCCTTTGTTTTTGTCCTCATCCCCCTTTGTGGCTTCTTTATTGGGCAGTGGTGCAAAAGGTTGGTCAGTTGAGATGACGACTAAGCAGGTTTTGAAAGGAAACATGAGTAGAATGGAGGCCTGGATGAAACTGATCTCCCCAAGCGCTAATGAAGCTTCGTAAGGAAGCAAGGACATCAGAGAATAACTTCTGGTTCTCGGTGCAGTAATGATCTGTAGTGTATCCAAATGTTCAAAAACATACTGTAGTGGTATTAACAAGTGATACAGTTGGTTAACCACAAAGGACAAAGGGTCAAGTATTGTGTCATCAGTTGCACGGATTATGGAACTGCTGTTTTCTCTTTCTTCTCCCTTTTCACGTTCAGGTGCTGATGATTGGAGACGATCTTTTAAATGATGTAGGTGGGGCCCAACATTGTGGAATGAAAGGTGTACAGGTGCGGACTGGCAAGTACAGGTCAGTGTTATCCTAAATCTACAAATATGCTATGTGAACTGTGATTTGTCTATGTTGGGTAACCGTTTTATCTATCGGTTACAGTCAGTATGTTCTGTCCTGAATAATCCATATTCTTACTGTCTGTTTTACTTATCTGTTTAATTATATGGTTATTAGAGATAAAAAATAATAGAAGTAAATATTGTCATCGGCCATGTTGCTGCTACTCTTCTTTTCATTTCATTTTATTTCATTTAATTATTTGTTTCACAGATGGTACGTAAGCTGGTTATTAACAAATATCTAACCATTTAAGCACATAGCAGCAAATCAGTGTATTTTAGGCATGAAGATATGATCAAGACGGCCTACTAAGGTTGAATTTGAGCATCAGAATGGGGAAGACAGGCAATTTAAGTCACTTTGATCGTGCTGTGGATGTTGTTGTGAGACAGGCTGGTCAGAAACTGCTGATCCAATGGGATTTTCCCACGCAACCAAGTGTGCAGTTTACAGGCTCTAAAAAGAGTAAATATCCAGTGAGCGGCAGGGTAAAAAGCACCTTGTTGAAACCAGAGGTCAGTGGAGAGACTGCTGGAGCCGATAGGAAGACCGTAACCATTAATCCAATAACCACCAATTACAACGAAGGTATACAGAGGAGCATCTCTGAACGCACAACACGTCAAACCTTGATTGACCACACTGGCTGCCTCTCTTGTAAGCTAAGAAAATGAACCTAAGGCCACAATTCGCACACAAAAATCTCTGAGCAATGTTTCCAGCACCTTGTTGTATCTATGCCACAACGAATCAAGGCAGTTCTCAAAGCAACATGGGGTTCAACTAGTACTAGCAAAGTGTACCTATTAGGGTTTCTGTGAGTGCATTTGAAAAAAAATGTCCTTGCAAGAAGCTGTTTAGTTTGTCCACAAGGGGGCAGCATTACACCAGATTTGGGGCGCAATGTTTCCTTTGTAATGAACAGGCTTCCTGTGAGTCAGCCACCATATTCTTAAATCCTCAGATTTGTTTATTTGATTGAGAATCTGCCAGAAAAAGCTTTATTCTCTCCACATGTAGATGCTCGTTGCCCGCAAGGTCGTAGTCACCAAAGGGTTTATAGTCCCAAATCTGGGGAGTACTGGGACGCCTTCCTTATGGTGTAATTACGGAAATTTATGGTTGATTATTTCAGAACCATGTGGTACTTACAGTTTAAAGAAAAGAGAAGAGTTTCTGGGTGTAAGAGAGGATGCTGGTATAGAACTACATTATGCCATATGTACTGTTTACTATAATTTTAGTATGTCTGCAGTTCTGGTAAGTAATATAAATGCTTTACCCTTTATATGCATGTTTAAGGATATGTGAGAAAAGTGATGACGTTTTTTTTTTTTGTTTGTTTTTTTTCTACCTTACTCTTGCAGCTTATGCAGGTTTTTCCCCAAAGTAAAATAATTGCTACAAACAAAATTGTGGGCTTTTAATGTTTACCTTTGTCTTAACGTGAGTAACCCTTATGTAAAGATGGATAGCTAGCAACTGTAGCTGTCAGATGCATGCAACAGAATAAGAATATGGAAATATTTAAATTGCCTGCAAACCACGCATCAATCTGACGAGTGCTCTTCTTTATTACCTGCCCTGCCAACGTAGACTGGCATGCAGGTTGCGGTCATGTGACCAGAGAACGCTGAGTAATCTGCTTGAGCATCACTCAGCATTAATCCTTAGCTAAGAGCATGGTCACTCATTATAAAAGCTGCCCTCTGTCTGGGCAGTCATTCGTTCAGAGAGAGAGACAGACCTGCACATCTCTGCGGCGGTATGCATGTTTAGCTTAGAAGCCAAGTGGGCTGAACTTTTTCTACTGTAGAGTCTCAGTGGAGTAAGCACATGAATTCATCTGGTTTGTGTGACTTCATAGTCTACTCCCAGCAGCTCGGTTGAGCTCCAGTGTGCTGACACTCTGAACAGTGTCAATTCAACTTAACAGGGTAAAAGGGATTAAATTATATCACTGCCTAACTATGTTTTGTGGAGAAAGCATCTGGTTATAGATTAGCAGAGGAACATGTGTGAAACTAGTGTTGGGTTCCATGACATGCTGTTTATCAGCTGTGGATTTATTGCTATTAGTATTATCAAGGGGGTTTATCTGGGGAGAGCTGAGCAGAGCAATATAATGACTCAAAGGAAACCAAAACTGTTATTATGAATGATTAAGAAATCATCTGTGTTTCGAATGTATTGCTGCAATAGCAGCTCTGAACAGCACATCATGTGGGTGTGAAACAGTAATAACAGAAGAGCCTCACAGTATTTGTGTATTCTTTTGCCCACAACTAGGAACAGAGTATAAAGGCTGTTCATTTATGACACCTAAAGCGAACTGTCTTTGTTTATTAAACATGGGAAACTTAATAATAACCCAGAACTCGGAGTGCCCAGACTTGCTGACTTTACACGTTCTCTGAGAGGAAGAGGAGTAACTTTGACATTAACAGTGTTTCAGTGGGAATTTGAGTAGTGGGGGGAGACTTGAGATTTAACATTGTTTAGCTAAACGGGCCCGGTGAACCCAGGCTCGCTTTGAGCGGCTATAAACCCTCAGTCATAACTGTGAAAACACAGCTGTTTCCAAGTCAACCAGATGCTGCGCAGGCCTCCAGTTCCCATCACACTCGGAGAAATTACGGATTCAAATACCCCAGACTCGGTGACAAGACAGGAAGGGAAAAAGATACAAATCAAATCGTATCAGCTTGTGTGAAAATGCTTTTCACTTGACATACTCATAGCTCTGGACAACTTTAAGCTTTTTTTTTCTTTTCTTTTTTGAGTGTCTACTTTTAAAAAATCCTCTCTAAAGTTTTACATCCTTTGAAGTTGGTTCACAAGCCGGTTTTGTTTTGTTTTTGTTGGCTGCTTCAGGGATGAAGAGCCAAAATTGTGCCTCGCTCATTCTGAAGCTATATGTGTGTCTTTGACCTTTAATGTGTTAAAAGCTAAAGTCTGTAGTTTTTTAAAGTATCAAATAGAACTTAATGGATACATGTTATAGTAAACCTATACGATAAGAGGGTTTTATGTGCACTTAAGTGCTCACTTTAGTGTTAAATAAGATGTATTTTCTTATATATGTGGCTCATTTTGATTAAATTCCAAAGTGGAGCTAGCAACGTGACTTTGCTGGACTAGTTGGTGAGCTATAGGCACAACATAAGGGCATTTGTAATTGGCAGTTCTGCTAGCAGTCAAATTTCCCTTGTTCTTGTATATAACGAGTGAAAGTTAATGCACCTCAAGGGAGCCAGAGAACCCTTTGCTCTTTAATGTAGACCAGGTTTGCAAAGAGGGGCCTACCACTGAAAAGTGGGTGGAAATTACACTGAGAGTATAGAGATCGGACTGCTGATGTTAATCAGCTGCATGGGAACAATCCACAGACACTGAGCTCTGCTCCAAACCCCACTCAGGCTTTCACTTCTCAAGTTACATGCTTAATGGCAGTCAGAACATTATAGCTGTATATGAAATTTCAGTGGTTACTGAATACCATCCATATTACACTTTATCCATAACTGCTGTTTATGCTATTGAAAATCAGTAATCAGTAGTTGGTTAGGTTTCAGGTGTAATTTTAAAAACACAAATTAAATTATTGTTCTGATGAAGCTCTGCTGTGTGTAGGAAAAAGCTCTTGGACTGATGTTGGCCTGAAATGCAGATTGTAACAATAATTGATTGGACAATTATGCATAATTGTACTTAAAAAAACACATTTTCCCAGCGAAATGGGCCAATTACATGCAACATTTGGTATTAAAGCTAATGGATTTCATAGTCACATGGATTCAAGCTGTAAACCTGATATTGACTAATTATCACCTTATTAACTTGTTAGGAAACACTTGCCAGCTAACATGAAGCAGCTTTAGCATTCATTTGGAGTAATGTTTATGGCCAGCTGATAATCGCAAGTCTATGCAAAAGCAACACTTCTTCAGAGAGCTGGTGTCTGGGTCCTTGGCTGCTAAGTGTTACGCTCATCACCAACTAGGCACTCAATTTGTTTGTCTGCCATTTGGTATCGGGAGGAAACATTTATCTGCCGCGGGAGTAAACAGGATTGACACAAACAGCGAAGCTGAACTGAAACGGGGAATTTTCTTTACGCCTAGAAACCAAAACAGCGACCTGAAGTAAAGTGTCACAACTGCAGTGCTCCCTGCAGGTTTGTCCCAACCATTTTGCTTCTTTAATAATGGTTTGAATGACTATAAAGTGGCCATATCAAGCCTTTATTATCTGTATGCACTGTTACAATAGTGTTAAATTAAAGGTCTGCGTATGTAACTGAGAACAGCATAGGCTGATATCCTTGTTTATGAGGGGCAGCCAATCAAAAGAAAAATAGCTTTAAGGAAGGTGAAATGGTTTTATGGCGACAGGTGACGACCTAAGAGCTGCATAAAAAATAATAAGGATTACCTTTAATTATGAAACATGATGGAAGTGAGCATAAAGGGCCGCTTTATTATAAAAGCAATATTAGCGAATGAGTGGTGGGTCAATGTGGGTTTTTTTGGGGGGTTTTTTTGGTAATTATTTTGTGGAAGTACAAAAAAAAACAAATAAGCTGTGAGCTTGGCGTTTATAATTAAAAAATGTTACTGAGCAGTAAGGTTATGAGTATGATGCCCTTGTTTTCCTCTTTCAAGCGTATGTTACCTTTTTCAATAGTGATCTACAGCAGCCTGTTCCTGTGACCGATCGTGTGTTCTTTGTTTCTGTTCTCTTATCTTCAAGGAACTGCATCAGCGCAGAACTGGGAAGCTTTGAAGCTTCATAAAAGCAGGTTCACATCATGCTGTTTCTGCACGCAGCAGTGGTAAACCAGTTTAATTGCTACTGCCGTTTCCCCATGTGCTGCATGTGCATACACCCTCAGCGCTGGCGTGTGTGCTTGTGCCGGGGAGAAAGCTATGCAGCAAAGAGTGGGATACCGGCAC